CTTGGGGATCAAGTGAGCTGCTGGCAGCACTGGAGCAGAACACCTGAAAGCTGAGTCCAGGCACCAAATTCCAGTAAATTTTGCCTCACTGTTTTGCAAGAGCAATGATCAGGAAAAGGGAAAGAGGAGGGAGTGAGAAAATTTCTTACATTTTTTAGAAGAGCAGATACTGTACTTCAGCTGTCTCACAAATCTCAGAGCCTTTTTCCTACCAGATAAAAAGAAGCAAAAGAGGTCAAGAAGCCAGTCTCAAGGTGCCTGTGAGACGCTTGTTGGTGCTTCCTATTCCCAGCAATTACAGACTTTATGTGCCTTTTGAGACTAAAAAGATTTGTACCATTAACTTACTTCTCCCATCCTGGTTAACTCCTAGAGAGTCACCTGTCAGAAAGTAAAACAGAATCACAGAATCAACTAGGTTGGAAAAGGCCTTTGAGATCATCAAGTCCAACCTATGACCCTACACCACCTTGTCAACTAACAGTGCATGATATCACTTTGACAAGCCCTACTGTTTCCAATACCAATGCAGTAAAGTTGGGCCAAATCCCTTGACCCTTCAGGAACATGTGCACTGCATCTATAAGGCTTCACTTCTTTTTGAAATTTTCAATCAAAAAGACAAGGGCCAAGCTATTATGCCATAAGTTTTTCCCTGGGTCTCCCTTTTTGGTCCTCCCAGGTGAACAGAGGCACCATTTCTGTTCCTTCCTTCCTCACCCTCTATGCTTCCCAGGCTTTGGCCTGCTGTTTCCGACTTATTGGTTTACCCATCACCTGACTTCTTTAACATCATACAAGAAGCTTTATCAGAGCTGATGCAAAAAACTCTTTTACACAACATAGAATTTGAGATTAAATATACCCACCTTTACATCCCCTTTAAGTTAATCTCACAGGCAGTGCATGTGTCAGACCATCTACAGAGGAAAAAGCATGGGCAGGCTGTACAAAACTGCTGTTAGAAAAAGCTGCCTCTGTAGCCCTGGCTGCTAACAGATATCCAGTCCTTCTGACCTGTAGTATGAGGGATGCCTGGGGACTCATTCCAAATCCAAATGTTCTCTTTGGTTCAGGGCTGCATTCTCAGGCCTTCAAAATCCTAAAAAATTTTCTGCATGTTTTTTTAGCATTTATTTTTTATTGTAATTTTTTTTGTTGGTTTTTTTGTTTGTTTGTTTTTGTTGGTTTTGCTTTGCCATTCATATGCACTCAAGGATTGAAGGGTTGCTAACTTAATCTCAAACCCTGTCTGTCACTTTGGAATAAATGCACCCCTTTCTAAAACTGGAGGATGCTGTTTGTGGGCTCTCTCTTTTGCTGCCGCTTTAAGAGACAGCAACCCAAGTATAATGTGGCTGCTGTTGGCTTTGGCTTCTAACTTTGCTCATGTTTAGAAAACATTTCCCTCTAAGCTATCTCTCACTCTCTGAATTAGAGAGTGTTAGATCTTTTTGTTCTTACATGTTAGTGTAATATTGCTACATATTTCCCTCTGTGTGGACACTCTTTCTGCAATATGCAAATGCAGTTATCAAACAGACTTTAAAAGAAATCTTTTTGGTATATACTGTAATATTTAATTGAATTTCTATTTTACAATATTTGCTGAATTTGAAAATTTTAATTTTTGATTTAAATTGCATGATGTAAGTTCTTAAAATATCTAGGATTGTCTTACTGACCTCTGTATGAAAATGGAATTTTTATTCTGCCTTCTATAATCACTGGTCTAGCATGGACATGGGCATCTTGTTTCTGTGGAGACCTGCTGCAATGAAGCATCCTAGGCCAGTCAGACCAAACAATGGGAAGATGCTGGAAATGCAGAGGTTATAGTGATGCTGTACTTCCTGAAGAATGGGAGTCTGGAACGTGAGACCTTCTCTATTAAAAATTCTTTGTATAGGTGTTGGCATAAACTAAAAAAAAAAAAAAAAAAAAAAAAAATCAAAAAAAAAAAATCAGCATTTTGCTTTGGCTCAGGAACTTTTATTTGGCTGCAGCTGAAATAGGGTGACAAAGTTCAATACAGAAGATATTCCTTCCTGATACTTATCAGTGTAAAAAATGCTTTGGGAGCCAGGAGAAGATGAAATCTTCTTATGTTATTTATATCCCTGAGGACCTCACAAATATTTTTTACATATTTGTATTCTGCTCTGTCTGTATTTATGCAATATCTTTGATATGGGGAATTACACCTACCCCCATTTAGTTCATCACAAATTGATGAGTTCAGAAACCCCTAACTTGGTTCTTAAAGTCACACAGTAAATCTCACTGATATAAATGAGAAGGAAATGTGAATTAAAGACTCAGCCTTGACTGAAATGAATGATTTCAGACTTAGTGAAAATCCACACAGAGGGTGATACCACACAGCCTTTCACTACAGACCACTGCTTTACCACGTGGGCCACTACTGATTTGTAACTGCTTTTTGGCAGGGCTCTGAAGCTGTAGACATGTTAAAAGTAATCAGAATAAATAATTCCGAGTTGTCCAAAGAGCATTCTAATGATACGCTCCTGCTTATCACTTTTGGAAAACAATTTTTCAGAGGCAATCTAAAAATTTCTGTGAAATTCTTAGGTGTCACTCTTCTAGCAGCAAGTAGCTGAAACCTCCAAAAGGCTTGGCTTTTGAGAATGTCATTCTCAAACATACAGCTGTATATTTGAATTATCTGAATTTCTGTATTGCTAAACTCCAGTCTACAGATTTTGACAACTTTATGCCCTTTCCCACAGTACCTTCTAAGACAGTTTGACTTACCAAGGCAGAATGTATAAGGTTTTATGTCCCAATTCAAAAATATGGCTTCAAAACATACCAATGACTAGAAAATACTTAACTAAGGAGCATTTCATTAGACCAGGGTCTGCAGCTGATTCATTAGCGTCACCTAGAAGACAGTTTCCCCTCCTGTCTCTACACCCCAGGGGAAGTTTGGATTACAAAACTCAGAAGACCATTTGATCTGTGTGACATGCCTGCCACACACAACCTCTTTCATAAGCATGGTATTTAACCACCAGCATACATGGTCATTCCTACAAACACAGAAAATTCATACATGACCTGTGCATTTTCTTCTTCTCCTAGAGAGTAGGCAATGGACTGGAAGAAGTATTGAGACTCTTCTCTTGATAGTTGTTAGAATAGTTTTTAATCACTTACAAAAACCAGAATGCTCATCAGCTAGCTTGAGAAAGAAATCTTGTCCTTTGACAACAGTAAACTTTCTTGCAGATTGCTTTCTGCTATGCTTGCAGGGTATGATAGAATGAGCATTTGGGGCTTTAAAGGAAGACTGTCAGGTGACTTTCTTCATTTAAGGCAAGAGAAGAGTAAAAATCCCATAACTACTTTTCCTTGATTTAAATGGGCTGCATATAGTGGAGTAAATGACTCCACAGGAGTTGCGAACAGACAACTTAATTGAGGACAAGTTACAGGCTGTAAGTAAAATATTGGGGGACACAGAACAGCCACTGAAAGCCCTTTCTGAACTTGACTTCTGCGTATATCTGGGTTGAACCTGACTGCTGAGAAAACAGGCAGCCAAACTGTACATGTAATTTCTCTATAAATTATGAAAACATGAGGTCGTGAAGCTCTTGTTTTTTCCTATCCACTCACAGCAGTTCTGATGCCTCTCTAACACAAAGGTTAAGGCCAAAAGCTTCTTCCTTTGCCCACAAAGAGGGACATAAATTTGCATTTGAATATAAAATTTAGAACTTACACATCACAAAGAAAAGAATTGTGTGATTATATGACAGGGATTATGAGTTTAATAATCTTTGCTCTTCCCCCGCATGACATATATATATATAAGGGAGTACTGCCTTCTTAAGGGAAAACCAAGAGGGAACTTCAGCTGATTTATTTATGTATTATAATCCCAACACTCAGCAATGAGTTTTTAAAAGGCAGCAGTCCCTGGGAAAGGAGTCCAGCACAAAACTTGTCTGACCTAGCATGCTCTACTACCTCATTCCTGAAATCTTGGCATTTATGATCCCTGTTCATCCGAAACACCATAAATGAAATAGTTCAGCATTTTCTTTTGCTGCCATATTTTCTGTCCTCTAGGGGGAGATCAGCAATGGTCCAAATGCTGGACTTCATTTATTTCTCAGGATCAGAAAGGAAAAGATATCCTAGTATTAGACACAGTGGTCAAAGTAATGAGATTAATAAAGTTGAGGGCTTTTTGCAACAGAATGAAAAATTCTGTATTTAAACAGATCACTCCCACCACACAGAATAACATGCCTTTTGTTCAGAGATTTACCATGTTTAATTAGTCATTTTTTCAGTATCTTAACCATGTAATCAATTAAATAAAGTAATAAACAAAAGTGTTCAAAGTGAGGCAATACTGTCGTTATGTTATTATTAAATTGTGATCAGATATCTGTGGGACATGGAAAACTAAAAATAAAAGTACATAATCTTTGCTTCTCTAGCAAAATTTTAGTGCCAAATTCTGCTCTCAGGTAAATTTCTATAAAGCATTGTTCATAACAGCATCACAATAGAAGGGCATGTTCATGGTTTTAAAAAGTACCAAGGGCCAGTAGTTGTTCTTGTATCTTAAAGGCTCAGCACACACCAAGTGGAGCCCTGGTGCCTGACTCGTATCACCCCGCTGCCCTACTACATGTGGCCACAGCATCATTCCTCTCCAAGAAATTGATTTGATTTCAATAGATAATAATTTGGCTAATTTTTTTTTTAACTTCAATTTGCCTGCTTCAACAAATGAGAGCACAATTTGGCTGCTTTCTTAGGGAAAAGGAAGCCAACCAAACATGACTTTCACCAGGCCTCAGTTTTTGGCCCCAGATTTCAACATACACTATTACAGCAATCAAAAGAACCATAGAAATTACCTATTTTACTGTTCCTTAACACATATCACACAGTCCTGCAGCAAGCAGAATCACAGATGAACCTCAGAACATACAGAGAGCACAACTACTACACTGGACATGAAAAGGAAATTTTATTAAACATGTTTACATAACATGAGTTGGAAGTTCATTTAAAAGCACAGGGGAGTGTTAAGACAAGTGGTCAAAATAGAAAGATACTATCGAATTATAGCTAGTTGGTTTTTGTCCACTAAGACAGAACAGGATCTAGTAGTAGTGCACCAATGCTTGAGTTCTTCCTGCTCAGCAGGTCGAGCAGTAACCAATCTGTGCCCTATGGAAAGATGGGCAGAATAATTCCCATGTGTTGAGTAATAATAAATAGTTCACTTGGTGCAGGCAGTATGTCTATGAATTAAAACCTAGTGTGTACACAGTTTCTACATGTGTTACAGCCCCACAGTAGGAATCTACACCAAAATAGTTATTAGAAGGAATTTGGTCCGTACTACATCACGTTTTCCATAGGGTAAAAAATAAAGTCCATCTATAGACATTTAGCACCAGACCCACAGACCTAGCCTGGCTAAAACCTGCAAAATGTCTATAAGAAAAATGGATGGCTTAGATTTCTTGGTTACTTCAGTATAGTAATTACGAGCAAACTGTACAAGTACATGCAACATACAAGCTGGCCTATGTGGAACTAACATACATTATTAAATAACCTTTTTTCATCTCTTTTTACAAAACGTGCATGCAGCTTTGAACAGTTCCAAGTCATGCTGCTCTATTTGTGTGATCACAAAATTCAATGGCCTGTAAAAGGAGGGGAAACATATCAATGCACCTGCAGGAATCTGCAGTTCTTCGCACATTTACAGAATATCACAAGGGATTTCAAGGCCAAGAAGAACTCAAATGAATAAAAAGCAAATTGAAATTTGATTTTTTTTTCTCCAAAAAGTAAGATATCTTGCGTTAAAAAATCAAGCCTTGTGCTTGCATCAATCTCAAAGAAATGTAAACTGAAATTTGGTAAAAACATTAGTAAGTGCAGAATATTTCAACTGGAATCTCCAGTGAAACATTGAACAACTCATACCATGCTCTATCCAGGGCAGACAGGTGTGTCTGAAGCGACACACATCAGAGAAGCCTGGGTACAGCTGAAAGTGTCATATGCTCAATTCATTCCTGGTCAACATTTTGGGAAGTCAAATATACATTTATACACAGAAACATAAGTACTTCCTCTCCAATTCTAGGAGGAAAATTGCATTACCAGTAACATATTTAATGTCAAAATTAAGACTAAAGCTGCTTTATACCAGTCCCCAGCAGTAGTTGCAGAATTCTTCAAAATTCTTCCATGCAAAACATCATAAACAGAAAAGTTATTTTATATATATATAATGCAAACATATCTGCTTTTTACAAAGAAAAAGTGGCACTGTGATGATTTTTATTTTAAAGAATATAACTTAGATTTGTCATTTGTTCTGGGTTCCCACGTGAAAGACTTGTAAGTACCAGAACCGAGGAACTATTTGAACTCGCTGGAATTGTAACTGTGGCTGTTGAACACTTTAACGATGCTTACAGAGATATGCTTCAGCCCTTTTTTGTTTGGTTTAGAAAAAGAAAGGAAGGGTCTCTGTTAGCATTGTGAGGACTTCTACAAAACTAGCAGAATCACGTGGCAAAAAACTAGTGGAAGTGACAAGTACAGAAAAACTGCTGAAACACCAGGAAGGTAACACTGCTTGAGGGCTCTCTCAGAATGTGAAAAAACAACATTGTTAACAGAGTGAGAGCTTCCAGTTTGGGTCATCTTTGACTTAGATCGAATCTAAATGTCCCTCTCATTTTTTCTTTTTCCTTTCTTTCTTTTTTTTTTTTTTAATCATTATAAGCATCAGTGGTAGCTGCTAATAGATTAGCTGTATGTGATATACCTTTGTTCTGTCAATTTAAGCCATCTCTCAACAGACAGACATACATTTGGATAACTACTACAAGCAAAAACGGAAGTGATTGTCTCTCTCCAACAGTGTTTCTTGTCATGTGAATATCTGGTTCCAATTGTTATCCTGGGTGATGTTTTGAATAGACAGCACCTGCTACTATGATCTAATGCAGGGAGGCCCAGTTGAACTTTCCAGAGATGACTGGGAAGCCCTACGTGTCAGGGGAGTCAATGTTGGATCCACTAGTGATGAAGGTGGAAATAATTTATACCAGCCTATTACCACGCTGGACAGATCCAGTTCCTCCAGAAGGATCTGGGCAACTCCCATGAAGCATTTGTGGTCCATTCGGCCATAGTCTCCCCAGACTATTACCTGGAAGAATATAAAATTAAGGTTCATGATTGTCCTCAAATCCATGCTTATACAGGGTTATATACTTAAACCTGTGCTTATGTATGTTCACTCTTGCTGTTATATGTGTTAACGTAAGGACAATGTTATTCTCAAGAGTGAATGACTGCTTCCCTTTCATGGGAAAACCTCATGGTAGGAACAAAAGTCAATAAAAGAGAAAATGTTTAATGCAATAAGACATTTTGCAGCTCTGAAACCACAAGCCACAAGGATGTCTGTAATGGTATTTATAAAATTAAATGCTTAATGAGTTGGAATGGATTTACACATACTCGTTAAATTTGAGTAAACATGTAAGTGGTTCCCCAAATGACAGCCTAAAATGGGATTAAGAAGAAACTGACCTGAAGGACTTTACCCTGTGGACTTTCCTCAAAAACCAGTGTCTGTTGGTACAGAGGATCAAGTGTCTTCCTTGCAATTCTTGTCTTCTTCTTAGCTATACATGCTCCATTTTCCAGTAAATACACTTTAACATACGGAGCTGCAAACAGAACATCAAGAATGTTATGTTTGGACTTACAGTACACATCTGAAATGGAGGACAAATGCCTTAAAAGGAAGCAGAGTAGAAAGAAAATGACACACATTATTTTCATTTTATCTTCACTTTTATCATTATTTCATAATCTGAATACAATTATATTAATAAAAAAGATGACACAGCCCACAAGAAATCAATTTGATTTTCATAAACTTTGAATGTAATGATCTAAGATCTTACTGACAACAATTACACTTCATGTCAGTCATTTTAAAAACATTTTCTTTTTCCAGAATTTAGCTATCACTGACAGCTATTTTGGATTCTCTGTAAAGGCTTAGGGGTCAGAGATAGTTCAAAGCAAAAGGAACCTTTAAGACTTTGCCACTCCAATGACACAGACACGAATTGCACTTTCATCTCTAGCTCCTAAAGAGCTTGCAAAGTACCATCTTCACTAAATGTTATCTAAAAGAACTGTTCCAGATTTTACAATAAGCAGTGGTTGGGGTATTGATTCTAAATCTCCTCTGTAATTGTTTCTATAGATAACTAGAACTTCAGCAAATGTCCTTATAAAAATGATACCATATTATTACAATATACGTTATGTAAATCATTGACACTGACAGGAACACTAGCACAAGCTGCTCCCTTCTTGAAGCATTGCTGTGTACAGTTTTTTTCCATACCTGGGGTAGATTTGGAGCCAGGTTTTTGGATGAGGCCACGGGCTCTAATGACTTCTACTTCTAACTGGCCTTTTTTATCCACCATTCCAATCTGGATGTCACCTGAGAGGGAGAAGAAAGAAGCCCATGTTTTAGAGAAGCAGTACAGCACAGGAGAGAAGGTATAAGAGTGAGAAAGAGTAGTTTTATATTATTCTTCTGCATTACTGTGCTTGTTGTGTCTCCTGATGATCCCTTTAGCTTCTCCATCCTTAAACAAGAACTAAATAATATATACTTAGGGAGCATGGTTCCCTCTCTAGGTATACAGTTCATACCAGCTAAAGAGAGGTATTTTTTCTTCAAAAGTCTCCACCAAGCACACAGGTGACAATTTTCCAATTTTTATCAATATTTCACACACATTTTTGGTGTTACTAAAATGTCACAACATGTTAAAAAAAGAAACTGTTTTCATTTCTGAACAGTCAAACTTGTTTCCTTGCCTGAGTTTTGACAACTGACATTTCCTGCAGAAAAAGGGAACTGCTTACTCTGAGACTAAGCACTGTTCTGATCTAGATCAATAAAATACAAGGGCAGTAAACTATGTACTGATGCTCAAAACATTGTATCTCTATGCTTTCATATATCATGGAATCAGCTGAGTAGAAATCTAACTTAGATTAAAATAGGCCATTTAGAATAAAAAATGCACAGTATGACATGAGCAGCTACATTACACTTGAGCAAATAAATGAGCTACATCCCTGAAACATGTGAGAATGTATATATTTGATATGTAAGCTCTGATTGTCTAAAAAAAAATTCTGAAATAGCTGATCCTGAACTATAGAATTTGGAGTATGGATTTAGAGAAACAGCATTTTGAAATTAATTGGGCATGAGATTTTCACACGTTTCTCTAACAGCATATTAAAGCAGTGTTTATACCTTGGTATGTGAGGTATGACAGAACAGCAACAAAGATTTTTTTATCAATTAAACCTTGCTTGAATAAACACAGCCATGTTTTGCACTAAAAATAGTTCAGAGGAAAATTCCAACAAGGCTTCTTAAGAGCACGTCTGTGTCTCATATCCACAATAAAACATGCAACAGGTAACCAGAAGGGGGTGCAATAATCCAAACATCTTCAAATGGTCACTAATGAGGATAGCACAGAGCAGATCTTCTAAAAATTGCTTAAAAACACGATGGAGTGCTTTTTGTGGGCCAAAAGCACTATCTACTTGAGCCTATAGTAGATAAAGTTATAAAAAAGTCAAAATAAACGTTTTGCTCAAGTTATCTGCAGAAAAATCTTTAGTCACAAAACAAAATTAAAAAAAGAAACAGAAGAAGTGTAGACACTTATATGCATTCCAAAAAAGCCATTTAGATATTTATTGGACAAATAATATCACTAATAGATTTTCTTCCAAAATAATAATAAAAATGTTAATTTAATAAGTTCAATATTTTATGAATGCTTTAGTAGCAGTCATTTGGATGTATACAGCAAGTTTTGCCTTAGAGGGTGCTCAAAGCATTCTCAATATAGTTTTCCTTCTGCTCATCAGTTGGGAAGGGAACACTTTTTTGTAATTTTTTTTTCCGTTTCTCTCCTTTTTCAGATGTGTCTCAGTAGCCCTTCCTAAAGCTGGTTTACCAAGACAGTTGTATTGAAGCATTGGCCATTTACAATTTCCAACAGGAGAAGTATTATTACAGTAGTGGATCAAGGACTCCTCAATTAGCATTTAAAGCATGTCTAAGAACTGCTCATATATAAGCAAAAAAATGCAAAAAAACTCCAACCCCAAATGTGTCCAAAGATACTTATTACACAGTTCTGCACTCTGTTACTCCTTCTACAACTCATACCCTGTTCATAAACAAGCTACAGCTAATGCTGCTAAAGGAAATTATAGACTGGTCTGGAAAATAGAGATCACAGATAGCCCCCAGCAGCTGTTGTAGCAAAGGACTTTGTGTCTCTCATGACAAGCACTGGCTTTATCAGTGACTGATTATTGGTCACTGCAAATATTTCCAGAATTTTCACTTTCTGGAGCTAGATGAACTAAACTTGGAAAAGTGCAGTTTGGCCAGAAACCCTCTCTCACATCCAATATAATCTGTTTCAAGTAAATACAAACTCTGAACAGTTGAGATTTTGCAGCGAGCTAGGATTGGAGAAGTCACAATACTTTTGTGTGAGAAGTAAAACTCCCATCTTCAAATTGCAAATAAGACTAGCCAGTACCTCAAATGGAGCAAATAGTTTCCCACCCCACTTTGGGTGCTGCCATGATAGGAACACCAGTGACTGCAGATAGGACCTTCATGGTGACAACGAAGGAGGACATTTGGTAAAAATCCCTTTGGTGCTGTAGTCTGCCAGTGTGTGCATTAGTTAGTTGTCTTGTTATTAATTTAACAGAGGAGAACATATAATTCTTACCCATGGCAGGGGTTGCTAGTGTTTGTCGGCCTACTAACTGTGCAGGTCCCAGTCCGTCGAGGAAATCACTGAACTGACTGTCAGCGCCCAGCCGTACTCCAGGAAATATTAAGCTGAAACAAAATAGAAGCTGGTTAAGCATAAGAACAGGATCAATTTCTGTCATCCTACAGTATTTACCACAAAAGTACTACTGATACAAGGCAAGCAGCTCAGGACGCACAACCGCAAATCATTCTTGAGCATCAGGAATTATCTGTTTCCCATGGACCCCAAAGCAGTGTAGAGACTCTGCACATCAACTTAAAGTAGTCCATAAAATAGGTCTTGCTAAGGAAGTCTCCAGGAGCAGTGAAGAGCTTGATAGGTAAAAAGACTATGACCTTGTATGGGAGAATATAAAAAGCTTCATGAAATTTCATAGCCTGTTCTTCATTAGTGAGTGTGTGATTTACACTGATCCAAACCCCATCTGCATCACTTAGAACAAACAGGAAAACAGATGTCTACACTAAATTATACATTAAACAGCTGCAGCTGTTTAATGAAGCAGTAAACTGGCAGGTAGTAGCAATAGTGGTGATTAGAGCTAAACCTAATGCCACTCTCTAGCCAAAATATTCTGGCAGACAAATCTGGATCTGCAGTTGCTCCCCACCCTCTGTCAGAATACAAACTGAATACATCAGCACAGTGTATATGGAAACATTCAAGGCCAGGTTAGACAGGGCTTTGAGCAACCTCATCTTGAAGATGGCCCTCCCCAGGGCAGGGGGTTAGACTAAATTACCTTTACAGTCCTTTCCAACTCAAGCTATTCTATGATGCTATAATGTGTTCTTTGCCAAGCTGCTTTCTTATATTCCATAGTGTCCACTTTTTTTTTTTTTTAATAGATATACAATCTCCAAACAATAACAAAAGAAAAAAACAGAGAAAGAGTGATCCATGGTGGGAAGACTCCGCTTTGACTTCCTTATAAAAATTATGAGAAATAAAAGAACAGACTCTGAACCAAGTGTAGACAATGTATTCTCCAGCAGGCCATCCACCACTTCTTCTTCCTCAAATGAAATTCCCCATTAGACTTCAAAGATAATAACAAACTTCCTAATAAATCCAAAAGCACCTAGTATTAAAAGCCTTAGTTTCTGCACATCACGCTTTTGTGCTTCAGCCATTCAGTTCACAGTTCTTTGCAAACCCAGTAGTTGCATAAAAAAAGTCCATTCCTCTCTTGAAGACTAACTGTGCTTTCTGTGCCTGCATTAAACTTATTAACTGTCAGTGACTAAAGCTTGTCAGAAAGTATCATAGAATCATAGACTAGCCTGAGATGGAAAGGATCATCAAAGTCCAACTCCAGCCCCTGCACAGGACAGCCCCAAAAATCTCACCAAGTGCCTGAGAGCATTGTTCAAACACTTCTTGAACTCTGTCAGGCTTCTTGCCGTGACCACTCTCTGGGCAGAAAAACTTTTTCTAACATCTAACCTAAATCTCCCCTGATTCAGCTTCATGCCATTCCCTTGGCACAATGTTTTCATTCAGAAAACTCTTTATTTTCTAAAAGGTAAGCTTTTTCACAGAAATTTAATTTGGATTTTTTTTTTTAATATGGTTTCTTTAGTTGGAGGAAGAAAAGAATCTCAAGGTTTTCAGTTCAACACCAAGATACTATCTGCTTCTCTCCCCAGTGGCACTATCCTTTCACTCTTGCATCTGCTATGAGATGTTTCTTGCTTGTTTCATTGGCCTTTTTTCCAAAAATGTGTTACATTTTGCCACAGGCTGACTAACAACATTGAAAATATTCACTTGAGACCACACTTCTGGCTACACATATGATAATGAAGGTTGGAAGTACACATTAATCTTAATGTGTATTAAGTCTAATCCATTAAACTCCAGTTAAGGGTCAAGCAAAAGAACATGACAAGGTACCTGGGGTGCAAGCATTCAGTTCTCTTCTCAAGCTTGCTTTCCTCACTGCCTTACTCAGAGGCTGATTCTCCAATCAGCAATTTATGGCTCTACCTTTCTGTCCTGCAGATGCCTGCTGCGACCTCCCTATCCAGACCTTAGCTGCCCCAGCCCTGCTCAATCTACTTACACACAATGAGAGTGGAACAGAGGATTAAGCTGTTCCACTGAAAATGTCCTCAGCCTTAGTGCTGGGCTCCCACCTCTCCTCTCCACTGCTAACCAGGGAAACAGGCTCCCCCAGCTCCTCCCTAAAGGGTCCAGTTTATTTGCCCTTTGTCACCAAGGTGAGTAACTGGTGCCCTACAGATTGACACTCCAGCCTAAGAGAAGGGAAGGAGAATGGCAGGGTGAAGTGTTGAAAGGGTAGAAGTAATGGCCAGTCAAGGAATCATAATGGGGAAAACATTGGGATATTTTACTCTTGTCCCTCATTCTTCATCTAGTCTTTATCTGCTTTGGTTTTGAATTAGTCATGATGGAGTCTATTTTTCTTACATGGCCCTTAAAAATCTTAGCATTATCACAGAACTATAGACTGGTTTGGGTTTGAAGGCACCTTAAAAATCAACAAGTTTTGATGCCTGTGCCATGCACAAGGACACCTTTCACTAGATCAGGTAGCTCAAAGCCCCATCTAACCTGGCTGTGAACACTCCCAATGATAAGCCTATCCACAATTTCTCTGGGCAACCTGTTCCAGTGTTGCAAAAAAAATTAGAGTGGTGAGGAGATCTGATGATTGAGGCACCTTTACACAGATCCTTGCCACTGCCACCACAGCAGCCTTGGCTCTTTGTGCCTCATACAATATGCACTAGCAATAGTGGTAACACAGTAAGCATACAAAAAAGTGAAGCCAAGAAGTCCAAATCTCTCATTTTTTTCCAGGTCTATAAAGGTGCCTTTGCCCACCCCCATTTTCCCCTTTATTTGGGGAGTCATCTTCTAAGAATTCCCTAGTAACCACTACACCTTGACACATGCAGTAAGAGTCCCACTGAGAACTGTCAGGATGCTGGAACATTCCTGCACATTTTTGTGTCAGAACTGCCTTTGTTCTCCTTTCCTACATTTCAAACTTCAGCAGCGAATGCAAACAGCTGCCCCATTCCCCACAGCTGTCTGACTTCAGCTGATGGGGCAGCTGGGCTCTGGGTTTACAGCTCTTAATAAGAGACTTGGAACAACTCCAAATTAAACTTTCTTTGTATCTAGTACTACTGAACAGAGTTTCATATCACAGGGATTCATATACAACATCTGAAGTTTAACTATGAGGTAATCCCAACATATCTCAAAGAAAAAGCACCCCTGTGTTTTGTTTTAAAAATGCAGTCTTAATTTAGTTGTCTTTTGATGAACAAAATGCCTCACTGGGTGACAGGGAAAATAAGAATTTTTAAGAAGTTCTGTCTCAATTTCAATTTCCATGAAATTTGTGTTATGTACCTAAAATGGTTCAGTTTTTCAAATGTTTCAAGAGGAAGAATCTTTACACAGAGCTATTCTCTTCAGCTAGAGTTTGGGACATCCCAAGTAATGGGAAAGAAGGAAAGTGGGAAAGAAGGAAAAATGGGAAAGTTAAACTTCTACTTCATTAGAAACATCTCCTACATTACTGATATTTTTAATGCCACTTACTTGCCCTCGGAGCTATAACTATTTATGCTGCCATCAGTGGATTCTCGACTTGGCTGTCGAACCATACGACTTCTCATCTCTGCTGCCATTCCTGTTTCTGTGCTTCTCTGTATCGTGCTCTTTAGCTTCTTGCTTCCAGCCTCTGAAAGCAGAGAAAAAGAAGCAATAGTTAGAATAATTTAGAGCAAAGCCTTCTCTTGCAGTTTTCACCCAAGAACAGTGATCTGACTTGGTCATTCTCATTTACTAACATAAAACTATTCTGATTGAAGAAGCAATCTCTCTTCCTCAGTTACAAACTGGAAACGACTTCTCTTTAAAAGGCTGCAACCTGAAGATCTTCATTAGGGCAAACTGTTAAAAATTAGATGTCTTGTTAATAGCCATTACACAGTTGGAATGTAGACAGGTTGTGATACTGTCTACTAACCACAAACTTGGTAATATGCCTCTAGCCACCTTGCTAGGTTGAGTGACTGCAAAAGAAGATACAATTCTCACAGAAAATAAAAAAAGGGAAAAAATCCTCTATGAATTCCACAGAAAAATGTTAAACACTAAGATACTTAGTATCAAAAATATAATAATGTGTTTTGACTTAGCAAAATCTTACTTCTCACCACAAAATGTCTTCAAAGTAAACAGTGGACTTTACAGAACATATGATCTCAGCAGTTCTGAAACAGAAATAACTCTTGGGGAATTTGTCTGGGAAACCACAGAATAGTTAAGCTGGACAGGACCACAGTGGAGCATCTGGTTCAACCTCCCTCCTTCCTACAGCCCATTGCAGAGGATTGTGTCCAAAAAGTTCTTGAATATCTCCAGTGAGGAGACTCCACAGCCTCTCTGGACAGTCAGACTCTAGGCTTGCAACTGTAGGATTAAAAAGTAATGTAAATATTTTGAAATAGTTTAAAGACTTCATCCATTTGGTAAAGCTTCTATCCCACATCCTTTAAAATGCAGTTTGATTTTCACCCATAAGTTTTCATGTTTCCCTTGAGCAAGAAGAGCTTCCAGTCCTTTACAGGTTCTCTATGTGCTATGGCTGATCTAGAGTGAATTCTGCAGTCACACGGCAGAAATTAGTCTTCTAGATGATGACAGTTGTTCTCAATGATCTTTAAATTTCTTCCACCAAAGCTTCCATGCGATGCAATAAAATGTGCTGTCTTCAAACTCATTGTCCTGGGTTTTTTTTTCAATTTAGTTCAAAATATGTACCAAAACTTCAATAGGTAACATTACTTTCTCCCAGAAAGTAATAGATTTTACAAAGTTTCACCTAAGTACATGCTACAACATTCTTCTGCGTTTACCCCTTCATTTCAGCACTCCTTTATTCATCCCTGGAAAGTCTGTGTGCATATTTTTCATGGCCTGCTCAGGGAAACAGATGAAAAGCAAATATTTCTTCCATCTCCACCTGCTGTGGAGACTGAATTGCTCTGAAAAAATTTTCACCTTCGTGTTGCACATTGTGAATGTTTGAAACTGATAGATCTTGACAGATCTTATTCATCACAATAAAACTTAAGGCTTTTGTAGCCTCCACGCAGCCTGCCCATTCCCAGAGTGTTTAAACATGCTGTGGAGATAGCTGGCCCTTGATCTTTGGGTCTGCACAGCTGGTGGAGGGCAAGGAGAAATCATAACATAGAGCTATCAGAGTAACCTCTCTGAAGCTCTCAGGGGAGCAGCAAACATGGCCAAAGTGAAAGAATTACTATATTGGGCTTAGAGGAGACATGCCCACAGTGAAAGGGGCTGAGCTTTCCCTTTTAAGCTTTTTGGACCAGAATTTGTTTATCTACAGCCACTAAGCCGCACCCAAATGCCTCTGTGTGGAAGAGATCAGCTACCTCCAGAGATCCTTTCCTCCCTTCTAAGGCCAACAGCTCTAAGGTTTTCCTGTGGGCCACTACAGCTCATCCACATTGCCAGTCCTTGGTCAGCTGAAAACACATTAACCTGTGAGGTAGAGTAGGGTAGGCAAGGTACACCAGGCACACCAGGCTCCACTCTTGCACAGGGCAGGTGGCTGTGGGAGGGATTTGCTGGAGCTTCAGTGACTCAGTATGTAGAAACTCAGATGCTGCATTTGGTCCTGAACTTTCTCATTAAAAACTGAGGGTGTGTTCAGCATATCAATAATGATAGGCAGGATGAGCCTCAAAAATAACTCAAACAGCACCTAGGAAGTATAAGCCACATACTGAGTTGTACTCCAAAGTGGGATTTTCACATTTTCTGTAGGTATGCACCCATACTGTTTTCTCAATCTCACTCTCTCTCTCTCTCTCACCAGGACCTCTCTGAAAATGTGTCTGTTTCCATCTGCTCCTACAAGCATGTGAGATTATGTGTTTTACCCCCTGCCTGCATTTCAGAGCCAGCCAGATCAGGCAGCATGACCTGGAAGATATAATAGAGTAGAGCCTGAAATGTGTTCAGCTGAATAGCGTTGTTTATGAGTATTCAGGGCTCAGGAAAAGTAAATGAAGAGACCCTAGAGGTGGTCCATGGCCCATGAGGGCTACAGGACCACCATGGTCTTGGCACAAATTAGTAAAGATATGTTGTTCTGGACCACCTGGACAACATGGTGGGTGCTGAAATTTAGAAATTTAGCAGTGAGAGCCAGGTTATTGGGACAGATAACGAACACAGTCATAGAAATAAAATGTAAAAATATCCATTCACTAAATTACAAAAAATAATATTTTAGCTTTGAGCCACAGTAGAGATTGAAAATAGCAGATGGATTTTTTTTTTTTCAAAGAGTAATGTTACATTGTCATGGATAACATTGGTACTGCTGTTTAAACACACTTCTTTGCTCCACAGATTTGAAAAGCACAGACCCTGAAGTAGGAATCCTTGTGCATGGCCAAAACATTGTCTAGCTGAGCAGCAAGTACCAGACTGTCTTTTTCCAAATACTTTTCAAGTCACTGCTCTCTGTCTTACAGTCCCAGATTTTACTTCTTTCTCTTTTCTCATCAGCATTTTTACTTTTCAGGTTGAAGAATCAAAAGCATCCTTTTGCCTCCCCTTATAACTGCTATTAATACACACAGTTTCCCAGGAAAAATACAGCCCTCCAATTTATTTACTTTTATAACCTCAATCTTAATATTCTGAAGTACAATCATAAATATAACAGTAACACAACAGAATGATGAAACACAACAAGAGCTTTTTGGCATACAGAAAATTGCTTTTGCCCATTGATAAGAATCAAAATACTTGTTGCATAGGTTTTGGAAGTTTTAATCTTGGTCACTTATGCATCTTATTATATCTTACATTATATAATACATAATTTTTCCAATTTTAACACAAAAAGTCAAGACATGGCTTATCTTGTTAGTCTGCTCCTCTAAACTTCTCAGCAAAACCATGTCCTGGGAGGGAGGGAGGGAGATGAGTTGGGAACTGCTTCTGTTTCTAAAGGTGCCTTGTTAAAGTGAACTCACTTTAGGGTACAATTCCAGTCCTGCCTTGAGTGCACAATGAAATAAGGGATCCAAACAAATAAAAGTGTTTTCCCTGCTATTGATAAGACTTCTTTTAGAAAACTTCCACTTTTCTCTTGTATTACTTTTAATCTAACAGCTCTGCATATTTCTTTGGAACGCTGTCTTTACATGAATAATACAGGTTCATAAAATATTCAAGTTCAATATCTATGCTATTACATACTGAGATTTTCTGCTCTTGTCAGGGTGTTTACCAGCTGTGTCAATTGTGTAAGGATTTCTTCATGCAGGGATGCAGACTGTTGTGCATAAATGACATGTAAACACCTGGCTTAACAGGTACAAGCTGGAGAAAAGCTACTAAAAAGCAAATGTGACAGATATTTTTTCAGATTTAATAATTGATGCCAAAGCATTATAAAGCAGCCACCTGCAGCTACGAAATATATACAGATTGTAAGCATTTTGCAATTAATCAACAGGCATTTTTCAATTAATCAACAGGTTGTAGCAGTCCTGCTATAACACCCTGATGAGCGTGTGCAATGTGCTATTTCCATCTACTTATTACAAATATAGTCTATAGTGATTCCTGTTTGCTCTGACAAGAAACTGGCCTGATTTTGCTTTTCCCTGACAAAAGTAAGTTAACAAAGACCAGGACCTGAATAACCAATTACAGAAAAAAGCAACTGTGCTCTACCTTATATCTGCACAAAATATCAAAGCATCTGATGTGTTTCAAATTTCTGTATGTCCTAATCACTCTGAAGCCTAGGAGCCAGGAGCTATTAACAACAGAATTATAGTGAGAGGGTCAATGATATTATCTAGAGATTTAAGGTGGCCTACTACAGATACCTTAAAGCTAGCTTTACATTCTAAATGTAAATGCAATTCAGAGAGGACAAAGCCAGACATCCTCCCTCCCAGCCCTGCCACACTTAGCAAAGGCATGGCTGCACATGGCATCACCATTGGCCTGGCTTTTCCTCTGTTCTCTGTGTGGTACCTGGAGGCAGTTACTACATTTTGCTCTTGTTTCAGTTCAGAAGTTTGAAATGGCGAGGGGCTGCTGCAGCAAAGCTTTCATCTAAGGTGCCAAGGTACATATAACATGCCATGGGTCAAGGCTAGGGAACATACAAGAAATGTGCAAGGACATGAGCTTGGCATCTTAAGTCAATAGGACAGTATTAGAGACCACTGCAGGGCAGAAGACAATCCTGACATGAGCCTCTGTGTGCTGCCTGTCGGGAGAGGTGTCTTAAGTGAGCATTGCCAGAATTGTACCTGAGGGCAACTAGTTGGTTAGCACCCAAAAAAGAAGCAAATTCACACACATGCAGCACCCAGGTATGTGAGAATTCATGACTGGTTCAAAAGAACACACCAGAGAACAAAGCATTAGTGGATATAACACCACTGCTAAATCCACTAATGAAAGGGATCATAAAAAGTGTCATTGCAGGGCTCAAGGGCAATTCATTTGCAGTATCAAGAATGCTCTTGCATCCAAAGAAAACCTAAAAGGACTGCAGCTCCAAGCCAGCTCTGAGAGAAACCTGGCAGGACTGTGACCATATGGTTGTTTGTACACTGACTGTGTGAGACACCAACGAGATTATGTCAACTGGAATAGCAAGGGTCAACTTCA